CAAATGATCATCCCAACCCTGACTAGTTGGGAATAGTACCCCAAAATTTTGGGGTACAACTCAAATCAGCCGATATGAACACTTCATATATTGTTTATTAAATAAAAACTTATCTAACTCAATAATCTAGATATAATCTGTTCAATAACTTTTTTGTCTAACTTTTAATATTTAACTTTTTAAAAATATTACTCTATTATTGTAATAAATAATTACTAATTTTATTATAATAAATTTTTTTTTTATTTGATTTTATAAATCTGTAAAATTCAAATAATTTTTTTTTTTGTTAAATTTTAATAATTATCTAGATATCTTTTGATCAAAGTTTATAATTAAAAACTCAAAGTAATCATTTTCTCTTGACAGCTCTTATGTAATATTTGACCACTTGAACCGGGCTGATCAAATTGGTCAGACCGGTTCGTACCAATCTTGATTATTGTAGCTAGGACTTACTACTTACTCCAGTCAATAATAAAACATATAACCCACTCCGAAACATTCAAGAAATGGGTTATATGTTTTATTATAGTCTACGTAGAATACTCTATTAACAACCCTAATCATAACACACGGTACATTATCATTATCGTTATATTTGAATCTTTTACATTAACAAAAAAAAAAGTATTATATTAATTTTCTATTTTCGGTATTCCAAAAGAATCTTTCAATCCATTACTGCATTATATAGGCAATAACAATTTTTAAATGCACTTTGCCGATTAAGTTTATTTGTTTATTAAATTTCGTAATAAAATATGTAATCGGATGACTGAAAAATCAATATTCATTTAATAAATTCAATATTCGATTAGATATTTTAATCCAAGCAATAAATGAAATTGTTGTAACAAAGTTTATTTATAATGTTATGCTCGAACCCAATTAGACGAATCTTTTGGCCATATATAAAATTTAATTGCATCTGAAAGATCTAATGTACTTTCTGTTCGCATTATTTGCTTATCCAAGTCAGGAATATCAGGCTGAAAGTCACGAACTATCTTGAGCTGGATATAAGATGGACCTTGTTAAAGTTTTAAAATAAACACAAATCATTAATAAAGACAATAATAGGTAATCATGAAATCCATATCAAGAATATAAAGTATTACCTGTCCAAGCGCTTAGAGAAATATCAATTCGAGTTTTTAACTGAAAATTATTTGGTCGTGTCACTACCAAGTCAGCTGATGACGGTCGAAAATGTTGAATAGATTGATCCGGTAAGATTATCTACATGATATTAGGTCAGTAAAAAAAAACTTATATAATGATAAAATTACATTACAGAAACTCAAAACTTATGGGATGCAGTAACTACATAGTAACTATTAAATTTAATAGCAACTATATAGTCACTATGTAATACTACACACATTAAGATAGTTAAATTTCTGTATAGTAAAACGCCAAAGAAATCATCGCAAACCTGAACAGCCAATGTACTTGCATCATCCACGTTGTTAACTTCCGCTTCAACATTAATTGTGAGAGGAAATTGAGATTGAAAATCTTTCGGAGGAGCTGGAGCTGGATTGGAAACTGGTCGTATTATCGTAGCCTCAGAACATTTAACTGCATTATTGAGACCAATTTCCAAAATATTGAAATCCTAAATAGTAGAAAAATTTGATAGGATAAATAATTTGATTTATTGAATTCTGGTTCGTATTTTAAATTACAATTACCAAGATATAATCAAATAAAGATATCATATTAATGATCGTAGGTTCCATCGTGACTTGCGTGAGTTTTTTTTGAACACGAGACATTTCATCTATCAAAGGTTCATGTCCTTCGAATTGTCTAAAAATCCAAAGAATATTGATAATTAAACATTTAAGGCATTGATATAGGCATTAAATTAAATGGTTAATATTACCTTTGCACATCTGTCACACGTTTGTTAAAGGAGTTCAGGAGCATTTGTTGGCTCATAGATGTCACTTGACTGTGAGTCGAAAATCTAAGGACAACATTAACAACATAACCAAAAACTCCTTATAATTTAAATAAATTACATACTTATCAGAATTTGTTGCCAAATGACTTAAAAACCAAACAACATGAGCAAATACTCTTATATGAACCAAAAAGTGTCGGGCCGAACTCTCAAGCCCCAGAAAGCCGTATTCCATAATATAAGAAAGTGTTAACAAATTTATTGCTGTATCTGTCTCAGAGTTTATAGAATTTACTCCTATGTAAGTTTGTTTAATCTGAAAAAGTAAAAATTTAATAAGTCATATATTCAATAAATACATAACAATAACATTTGCAATATTAGTGAATATAACATACTTTAATAAGGGCCTTTATACAGCTTAAATACTTTAAGAAGAATTTAGCATTTCCAGAAAACAAAGGTACATGCGATATATATTTCAAATTGCTAGAATAATAACGAAACCAATTAATATATAACATTTTTCATAAACTATGAGATGATCCTATATGATTACTCATTAGTATACCTTTTACAGCATTTGATGCCCCGCATTACAGCTTTAAAATCTCTAACCTTGAACAAACGTTTTAATTCGAGAACGGCTTTTATTGTATTTTCCATAAATGATTGTATATGCTCTAAAAACATGGATAATATGGATAATATGGATAACATGAATTTATAGATAACCATATACGCATTTATATTTAAAAGTATTATAACACTCACCATCATTGTTTGTAGATTGAATACTTTGTTTAGGAGTTTCACCAGGAAGCTATTTATTAAAAATAAGTTTTTAGACTTCATATGAAGATTATAAATTATAAAGTTATATACCTTAACATCCGGAAAGCATTGTGGAAATTTAATACGAAGGTACTCATAATGTCGACTAGTGTATGAAGGCAGCATGGATAATATCTTGGGATTTGAGATTGATGCATTGAATGCTAGAATTAAATGTCCAACATCTACGAGTAATATAAGAGTTAATAATATGAGTCAAATAATTATTAATCAATTCTCCACCAACATACGTTCAGGTGCATTTTGATTGATTTCTTTGGAGATATAGCTTGATTCTATTTTGAAAAATTTTGGAACAAAACGCTCTGCATAGAAAAATAATTTCTTAGTATCATATCAAAAATAAAATCAAAAGTCACAAAGCCAATAACATACCAATATAATCGCCATGTGTTGATCCAACACGTCTGAAGCATTGATAAATTGACAACTGATCTTCTGGATACCTAGTCATACTGGCTAATAACGATTTAATAAAAATGGGTATTAAATCAGAAGATTTTAGCTTCGCAACTCTGAAACATATAAGATCATTTGTTAATTACGAATGTGATAATTATGAACCATAATTGATTTAGAAGGAATACTATTCACCCTAACATTCCATGTGTAGACTCTCGAACCCTAGGATCAGCATCGTTAAGTACACTAAGTGTAATTTGCAATAATTCGGAATCCAATTCGATGGGATATTGTGCGCCAATCTTGCAGAGACTATTGATGGAATTCAACCGTACGAAATCAATCTCATCCTGAAACATGTCTAGTACCAATATCAATGTCGAGAAGCAATATTTAAGTAAGATGGAAGTTAAGAATAAATTGTATTAAAAAAATAGTTACCCACAAGAAATTCAACTGAACGTTTTGAAAATTTTTCATTGTGCATGCATAATTGACATATCGAATCTATATTGAAAAATAAATTAGAAGGTTCTATTTAAATGTTTTGTAAAATTTGGATAAACAACTATTACCAATTGCAGCATTACGAACATCCTGGTATGCATCCTCTAAACCATGAATAAATGCTCCACAAGCACTAGACTTCAAAATACGCAATTCTGCTGACTCTACATCTAAATCACCCTCAGGAGTTGGAATAAACCTAGACTATAATTATATACATGTTAATAATTTATTTCAGTAAAGATTAAGTTAATTATATTAAAAGCTGAAATACTTTTTTGGTTTTACTATGGCTAGTAGAAGGCTTCCAAAACTTTCCATGAGTAATAATCTCCTGACTTAATGTTTCAAGAAGAATTGATCCATCAACTTGGTGATAACTTCCCATTATAGTACATGCCTGTTTTGAAATAAGAGCCCAATTTGTTGAGTATATTCTAAAATGAAATATCATTTACAATTCTAATCACATTAATTACATTGGAAATCTTTGTATGGATTGGCCTACCTTACTTCGAACCTTTACAGATCTATCATTTACCATATCGCAAATTTTGGTAAAAGCATCATCTAATAATCGGATATTTTGAAAATTACCATCATCCAATGCACAATTTCTCATTTCTTGAGAATAAATGGTACTCAAAACCCTAAAGTTTTATGAATAACATAAATGACATAATTAGATATAGTCACAATAAAAGAATCGATTAAAAAAAATTCAAGACTTGCCATATTAAACTCAACGCTTCAAAACGAACTTCCTCTGAATCATCGGTTAAACAAGTGACGCACAAGTTGTATAATGATAAATCTAGTTTACAACCACGTTGATGTAGGTGAAGAAACGCCCTTATTGTAGCCTTGTTTTACCAATAAATAATTAACAATCAAATGAACATCTTTTTTAAAATATGAACAATATAAACAGAATGATAAACATACAGTTCGAACTCTTGGATCAGGGTCTTCTCCAAAACGAAGAATCATATTTCGAATTTGTATTTCATTCATAAAATCTAATGTATTTAAATTACTCAGACCATCCTTCACTTCCATATTAATAATTATGGGTAATAACGTTGATAGCAAACCGATACATACAGATCGGATGCTATAATGTAAATCGGTTAGGTCATTACTTGCTTGCACACAAAGCAATTGCAAAGTATTTATTGAAGGTAGATGGGATTTTATATTTTCGATCTGCAATCAAATGACAAAAAAAAATATTAGTATATATATATATATATATAATACATAACGGCATTTATATTTGTATACCTTTAAAATATTATGAATTGATTCATATATCCGGCACTTGATCTCAGTCGAATTAGTTCGCACCTTACAACAATAATGGTAATAATAATTGATATAGTAGTAATTAACAATATAAGTGTGTAAAGAAAACAGCTTTAAAAATAGTAATTACCTGATTAATTAAAACATCAAGTATTTTTACACGATCGATAGATTGATCATGTATTAATTTTTCCAATAGTATAATAACAAGATTCTAAAAGAGTAGAAATCGTTAATTTTGATTGAATAACCTATAAAACGTAATAAAATAAATAATTGAACCTTAACATCCTTGTCTTCTTCCTTGTAAAGAAGTCGCTGAAGATTACTAAGTAATTGTGCTTTTGTATCTCCGTTCAGAGTTGGAAATAATAATGCGAATCTATGTAATGCCTAGCATAAAATTTCTATCAATTAAGAAAGGTTACATAAGACAACATGATATATATGAAGCTTAAACTTACATAAATTCTTTTTTTAACCTCTAAAGATGACAATTCATCCAATTTGACGGATAATTCATCCTATTGAATAGCAACTATGTAACCAGCGCCTTAAAAAAGTTTAAATTATATAAAATCTCTTACATTTATTAAATCTATTGAATTAAGCTCATCAAAACCGTATACTAACGATTGTGCTGTAGAGGTAGGATCCATGTGAATAGAAAGTATTAGATTTATATAGTAAACAGCCGACGAATCTTTAAAGGAAGTTAGTTCTTTAATGTAAATTGCTTATGGCAAAATTTATCAGATATAATCATTTCGTCGGAGATTTATCATATGATGATTGATCGTAATTTCTATAGGATGTTGCTACGTATTATCGTTATAGGATCGACAACCAATTAATCCGTTGTTTCGCTGACAGTTTTAAGGCTACGAAATTAAATCATATACGTATTAATAGGACGATGTTAATGCTCAAAGGTAAAATTCTCCGGGCATGTTGTTTCTCGATCTATGATTTATCGGTATATACTAAATAAAATATTCATCCTAAAAAACCTTAATTTTTACTTAACAAAATTTTCTGAATATAGTAATAATTAAAAAACATATTATGGTGAATTTCACCTTTAATAAATGCTAATTAAATTCTATTAAATACTACAAAAAATTTACAAATGATCCGGATATATTATACAGTTGAGTCAGTGTCGCAAAATATATATTCTGTACTTATAATAAGAAGTCTAAAAATATAAAAAAACCTATATCTAATTAAATAGAAGTCTCGTGTTTTGCACCGAGTATTTTGCAAGGGGGTTGAAAAAGGGTTAGTGCATTACGGTAGGTATCAAAATGAGAAATTAAATTTAATAAAAGAAAAAGCTCCTACTTCAACGTTAATCACTATCACTTTATTATTTAAAATGTCAGGAACGAAATTTTACATATAATAGGCAACAATTTATTGCTATAGCTTCTATTGTTAGTGACATAACCCTAAACTTATATCTTTATGTAATTCGATTAAAAAAAAATTTGATGAAATTTTGCAAGGAAAAATTGTTTATTAATAAAAGACAATAATGCAGTTTAAATGTATTTATTCTTTTCAACAATCAAATAAATTAATTAAGTTAATTAAAATAATAAAACGAGATATTGATTTAACAATTCAGATTTAAAATATGAAACTGAAGACTACTAATTAAATAAAAAATTAGGATTCAAACTCTACATTCACCCAATAACAATAGCCTTATTTACACTTGTAATCACTTTCAGCATATTAAATCATCTCATGTAATTGTGAACGTTTGGTTTTTTTTTTTATTTTCTTTTTTTTTTTTAGTATCAGCAAAGCATGAGATTGAATGTGTTTGGTTAGTTCTAATTATATTTACACAGATATTATTGGACAAATGAGCCGCTGTAAATGTAGACAAAAGCAATATACTGAAGAAACGTACAAATTTAAGGGAATGGAATAATAAGTGAATAAACAAGAAAAAAAAGTAATAAAAGAAAAAAGGATCCAAACAGTTTGGTATAAGAATAAGGGAAAACATATTTCAAACCATTCAATTTATACGGGCCTTCTTATTGGCTTCTTCTAGAAAATAATAAATTGAGATTAATTACGTCTTCAGCGATTTTTGATTAAATAATATTTCCATCTTACCTTCATTATCGTTCGTGTAAGGTCTCTCACGCTTTCCTGGAGAGACTATTGTCTCATTATCATTTATTTCATTATCATTTATCGTTGGATCAAACTCACTTGCGGTATATTCAGCCACCCATTCGTCAATCGGAGCGAACAAATCATTATCCTTCGAATCATATACATTTGAGAAATCAATATCATTTAATGAGTCTTCATTAAAAATGTCTTCACGCAGATCATTTTTATCACTCGGCAGTTCATTTGATTCTAGTAGTTCATTTGACTCTAGAAGGTCATTTGATTCTAGAATTTCATTTGATTCTAGAAGGTCATTTGATTCTAGAAGGTCATTTGATTCTAGCTGTTCATTTGACTCTAGTAGTTCATTTGATTCTAGTAGTTCATTTGATTCTATCTGTTCGTTTGATTCTAGCTGTTCATTTGACTCTAGTTGTTTATCGAGATGTTTCACTTCATCTTCAACTATGTCATATTTGTCACTAGTTAGATCATTTGACTCTAGTTGTTCACCAAGATGTTTAACTTCATCATTTTCACCTAAACCTATGTCATCTTTATCACTAGGTAGATCATTTGACACTAGTTGTTCATCAAGATGTTTCACCTCGTTATCTTCACCTAAACCTACACCATCTTCATAAGGCTCTTGTTCACCAACATATAACTCATCTGTTTCACTAGATGTTGCTTGCTTTTGATAATAAGTTTGAGAATCTTCGTTATAAAATTCATCTTCATCGTGTTCATCATTCTCCCATATACTACCGTCATCTTCGTCACCAGAATAAGGTGGAAGATCTTATATTGTAAATATATATTTCAATTTTATTCAAAGTAAACATGAAATACAAATTGTCTAAAATTTAGAAAACATACCATCATTTTCATCTCTAATATCATTGTTTTGTTCGTCATTTACATCTTTAGATAGTGGCAAAGACGCGTCTTTTGATGGTTTAAAAAATGAATTACCTGTTCCAGATACTTGGTCCACTTTTGTTATGACGTCTTCACCGGGAAATGTTGAATTATTATCACAATCATCGAAGGGCTCAGGTGATGAGTCACCGACGATAATTGGATTTTGTGCTCTCTCCCCGGCGACATCTAAAATGAAAATTTAAGATTTTATATAACTATTAATATATAATATAATATCATATAATATAATAAAATGGAAAATTAATTAATTATTTAAACTAAGACAAAAAAAGAAAGCGTACCATCATATTTTCGATACTGTGAAATGAATCTATTTTGTAAAGTCATTACTACGTGAAGATCTGCCGTATCAAGGTCACGAGATTTTCGATATTTATTATGGACATTAATAATTTTACCAAGTGTAAATTCTTGTGAATATTTATTATCCTACATAATTTTATAATCAAGTTATTAGGCTGAATTCAAAAATTTGATAATTAATTTGAAACTATAAAAAATACCTGAGACAAAACTAATTGGAAATCATCAATGGATGAATCTAAAAACGTCAATACCACTTCACCATCAAGTGTTCTGTCACGGATAAGGTCATCCTTGAGATCTTGCATTAACTCCCCCAAGCATTTATCAGACTTGACATATATATGATTCGTTTGGCCTTCATATTCCAAGATACAACGGGATTGACCACTATTTGAATGGTCATTTTCTTTTTGAGGTGATCGCTTACCGAAATAAAAGTCAGATTCATCTTCCAAATCATCAGGTATAACACTGTCATCGATGTTATCATTATCAATTAATTCATCATCTTCAAGAACGATCACATTTTCGTTAAAAGATTCATCAACCGTATGTGTTTCGATTTCCTCTGGTAAGAGCTCTGCATCATTTTCGTCCTCCGGTTGTGTTTCGATTTCCTCCGGTAAGAGCCCTGTATCATTTTCGTCAAACTTATATACAGGCTCTTCTGAAACTTTTGTTTCTGTGTCTACTTGTTCTTGTAACATTTTTGTTTCTTCTACTTGCTCAGATACATCACCTTTAAAATCACGCAAAAATGTTTCGTCACCCTGTTGTAGTGGTTGCTGGTTTTCTTTTTCTTCTTGCTGACCACTTATCTTCTCAGTATATTTTAGTGAATCTGCCTCTTCTAATAGATTAAAGAACTCAACATCCTCAGCCGAATTAAGTTTATAATCCAAAGTAATATCATCGTCGATCAGAAGATTGTCGGAGGTTTTAAACCAGTTATCGTCAATTTCCTCGTTTACCACAGAGGCGCTCATTTCCTGAGGTTTGTTTACCGAAAGTAGCTCCGACATCTAAAAGCAAATAAAATTAGTAGAAAAGGCGAATATAAAAATTAAAAGATATACTTTTTTAGTAGTTTTGCTTCTCCACGACTTTAATCGAATACTATTAAAAACTTGAGAATGTGATTCTTTCCAATCATGCATTTTAAAAAAAAAACATGATCGTCTGAAATGTAACATTCATGGAAATACTTTCGTGTGATTGGTTATTTTTTACGTACTATGAATCAAAATGAATCAATCAAACTGTTATTGTGTTAAGTGTAACAAAAAAAAAAAAATCATACGTACGTACGTAGCAACTAGTATTAGCCGACTAATTACGTATTAGCTTATGTCGCTTAAACAATAACGATAAATACTGAAATATATAGAAATATGCTATATATTTCATTGTTTAGAAGTGTGATATTGGTCTACTATTAGACATATTGATATGACATAAAAATCCAATACATAAGAGAAATGAACATTAATAAATCATGTATTTCGAGCTAGTGATTGGAGTGTTGCGATTAATTAATTATGTTTCTTGTAATGATTGTTATTGATTAGTTTATTTATTTGATTTCCTTAAATACATACTTGCGAATATTCTTAGAACGTTCTTTCAACACCTAATTGTCTTAGTAGTTAATTAATTGAAATAATAACTAACGCTAAGATTAGTGAATTTCACAAAAAGCCATTACCTGCCATTACTTGCCATTACCTTTTAATTATAAATAATTTAGAATAATTTAGAATAATTTAGACAAATTGTCAAGAGAAAATATCAATAAAGAAATACACATGCCAAAGTAAACATAAGCATTGAGTCTTTATACGTAAACTTCTAGTACCTTATTGTTGGTCATTAAAAATGACTCAATTATAAGAAAAAGTTTAGATCGGAAAAGATACTTTATTTATTTCTTTTTATAATGTATTTTATTTTCAAACAAAAAAAAAAATGTGACTAAAAATGAAACAAGAAAAGAAACAAGAAAAAAAATAAACAAAATATAATTTTCTATTTATAGCTGTCACTATCTCCAAAACTGCCTTTATATGTACATACTGCCACTTTTCTTTTTCTCTCCCTACTTGCCGACTCATATGTACTATTCAAAATAATGAAGATTTTTTGAATGAAAAAGAAAAACAATGTTTACAATACCGAAACAAAATTAAATTATCATAATCAAGACCAACCTGACATGACAATTATATTGCAAAACAATTTATCTAAAGTTCAGAGCGATAGTAATAATGAAATAAATATAACAATTTATTTTAACATTTTGAATATTTTTTGGTAATTTAAATAAATTACCATCAATTATAACCTTTGGATTATTGGCTCAATTTTAAATGAAACACATCTTTTGAAATTATTAACTTATTGGTCCAACATAGAAATAAAAAAGCAAATGCTTGTAAAAAAAATCGAATTTGCCTACAAATATAACGTATAAACAATAAAATTTTAAGCAATCCATGTTATTCATTAAAAAAATTCTTTTGAAAAACTTAGAGACCATAAAGACGTTTTCACATAATAACATGTACCCGACATATCTGTCCGGCTACGGTCATTAGCTAGTGTTGTAAGCTGAATGGTTGACTAAGCCAGTCGGCTAAACAGTTGGCTAGCAGCATTCCTTACGGAATACGGAACCTTTCTCATATTTTATGTATATTTTCGGAACTTAGGGTATCAGAAGTTTAACTACTTATAATCATATGATCTTTAGTCACATTAGCCAGCTGACTCTTTTATATCGGCGGCTTACAGAATATTTTTGTGCAATTTTAATTAATACTACGTACGTATCTATAACCAAGTATCAAATAAGGAATTTTAACATATTTGAATACCTGAGCTCCAGCTCACCATTTTTCTAGTATTAACGTTAAAATGGTAAAAACTATGCATTTGATTGGCTAATTATCAAATGTCGGTAATCGACTCAATCTTCAAAAAAAATATACGCAGATTGTGATGATAATCGTGCCGAAATATAATGTAACTATTGCGAGTGTGACTATTGCGGTATTATCATTGTCAAAAATTTTTTCTCACTTTTTTTATTCTGCTATGCAGTTTATTTATTTTTTTTACATTTATATGTTTTATTTATTTACTTGTTTATATACGTATTCTGTTTACTTGTTTATAGTTTATATAGTTTTTTTTTTATTTGATATACTTTTTTTATAAGTAAACGTTTCTTTAGACGCGTTCTTTATCAAAATCTTTTTCTAAAGCGGTTAACTTTAAGATAAGTGTTTCGTTCTTTACACACTTGTGTTCAGTTGCTGCACCTATTTAACCTTTCGTTTTTGAAAGATTCCCACTTGGGTTTCTTTCAAAGGTAAGTAGTTAAATATTTTGTCTGGTCTTATTTACTAGGTATCAATGATGAGTTTACCTATGTCGACTACGGTAAGCTTGTCTGCGGTGCTTAGTCTAAATAAGATTTAGGCTCACTCCTCCTGGTGAGGCCCCTTGCCCTGGTTGGTGTAAGCGCGAGGTTTTAATCCTCCCAGGGCCAAAATCATAATGTTTCGTTTTTTA